CCGTTTCAATACTATCCCATATTTCTTTCCCACGTCGCTGAACCTGGTTTGAAATCTTTTGAAGGGGTGTTGATAGTGAAGTTGGGACAACGGGGTCTAATCGAGCAGAATCTCCAGTAAAGTACACATCTCTTCCACCAAAAAGCTCGTTTGAGCTGCTTGGCCATATTTCTCTCATTCTTTTATCAATCCAATATAACATGCCGCATGATATCATGCTAAACTCATCAATAATAACTAGATGTACGTCTTTATATTCTTCCTGCAATCGTTTCAGCTTTGTTGGGCCCGTTTTCAGATCCGTTAGAGATTTGTAGGGAATTGAGAATGAGGACTTTGAAAACGATGAAAATGAGAAAGCTGAGCACAGTGTCATTCCTTTTATGTTAAATGCAGCAGTTACTTGATGAGCTAGGAGTAGTACCCGTTTTGATTTCCGTCTCGTAGCTTTATGTTCACCAAATACGTTGTGCATGTCCTTCACTATATGGCGAATTAGCCAGCTTTTCCCAGAGCCACCTTCACCGTTTATAATCATTTGGAGAGGCTTACACCTAGATTTATCCAGCATACATGTAAACCGTCTTCTCGATTGTTCCATTGCAATTGCAAACGGAATCCACTGCGATTCAGCCATTTCTTCGGTATTAACTAGATTTTTGTTATCCGAAGTAGGGTATTGATAGTGCGATTTCAAATTTCCAGTTTGACAAAAAATGGTTCCTAGTGATCGAGATTCTTTTTTCTCCTTCACCCATGGTTTTAGTGATCCATTCAAAAAGTCACGAGCTTTATCAATGATGGCAGACGTGTAGGTGTGTTTGGCTTTCCACTCCATCGGTTTATTTTGGTTTACTGAGGTTTCTACCGCACCCATCGGCTCTGGTTCTAGCATTCTCCATCAGTATTCGATACAAACACATACTCAGACGGAGGCAGGGCAGTTATACTTGATTCGCTACGAGCGGATTTTATTAAATCTAATTGATACTGCCGAGCTAACTTGGCATTTGATTCGTGTTTCAACTCTGCATCCAGCAGCGAATTTTGAGCTTGAAAAAAGCGTGCTATTGCTTCATCATCGGTTGTGGGAAGCTCCTCTAACGTCCGCCATGGAACATACAAAAATACTTCGGAGAAACAGAAAGTGGGGTTCGACGAATCGGGTCGTATCCAGGGTGTCTTTTGCACAACCGTGGCTTTCTTGCGTTTCTTGATCCACCCTTCACCGTTCATACACTCGTACAGATCATCGGAGGATGCTACTTTACGTATCGACTCAATCGTTTCGAAAGTCTCTACAAATGTTGCTAAAGTCATAGCGTTAAAAATGATCATTGTCCGGGCGATTCATGTACGCTTTCTCGATAGGCTCAATTCGAATAGTCTCGATCTCTGGTGTACTTGCTAAGGCAACAAGGTCGTCTAGGTTTTGCGGCTCAACGCGATAGTAAACGGGTACTGTGACGCATCACCTTGACTTTGGTGATTGAGCGGGATTTACTATGCATTGGTAGATTGCGAAGGAGAATGTATATAGCTTCCGGTGCACCAACCTCGCGAACCGCGAGAGTCGCATTTGCTAATCGCTTCAGAATCGAATGATAGGGAAGATTTGAGTCACTCCGTTGTATAGCTTTTGCAATCACTCGCCTGAATCGAAGTGTATCTGGCTCTGCTTTGCTTACATACGCTCCTGCGTATTCAGCAGCTCCGTAGGAGTTTCCAATTAGTTGCAGGTCCATATTAGCACGCCAACACGAAAGGAGATGCGGTGAATAATTGTTAATAGTGGACACCTCACGTTGTAAGTGGATTTTCAAGGAAGGTGTGCCATCTGAACTCGTTTTCGACTCAATTACAGTTCTAGGTTGTAAACTCTTGGGGAATCCAAAACGACATTCGTTGCCTTTCTTCCTACAAGTAGAACCTGCGTGGCATTCATGCTGCTGCACACGCTGAACAAGTCTGGCCAAATCACAATTCCACTCTTTGTTACCATAATGTGGTGGTCTTAAGGCCAGAATGTCACTTGTACTGGCAGTACAAGCAGAGCATGGGCACGAACTAAGCTCCGAGAGCGTCTTCGTTAGGACTGATATGTGTTTATCTACAGAATCAGCTAGTTCGGCCCGTCCATCATCCGTCTCTGATAGTTTTAAAACGTCAGGTGCATCTTTCACCCACAGCAAGCAATGTATGTGAGGAGAGCCTCGTTGCTGAAATTCTACACGCCAGAAGTGATCTACAATTTCGCCTAAAGGTTTAGACCTCCCGCATAAAATGTTATCGAAGAATGCTTGAAATCTTCTGTTAAAATGACGGGCACTAATGTCTGGGTTCTCATTTAGATACCTCCTTCGTTCATTAAACGAGAGCTGTCTGCACTCTTCCAGTGTCAATGCAGGATTGCATGCTCGAGCGAAATCTGGCCAAATCGTATCCGCTGCGCTCAGTGCTAAAAAGAAGTAGGCCATTTCGTTGGCAATACTCGATTTCCTATCATTGACATTAGGTCTTCTCGTACGTTCGACCAGTATAGTCCACTACCTCTCACAACTTTAAAGTAAGGTTTTAAGGATTTCAAAACGTTCATAGCGGCACTAAGTTCTTCCTTTTCGTTACTGCAGGGGCTTTCTCCTTGTGTTCTTCCACAACCGGCTAATTCCATTGCCTCGGCACGTGTTTCAGAATAGCGAATTCGTCGAACTAAACCGTCAATTTGACGGCGTTGAATTAGATTCATGCAGAAGAATTTAAAATTGCCGTGGATAACATAGCGCCGGTCGTGCCACTTCATCAAGTGAGCACAATATTCGGCTAGATTGTACTCGTGATGTCTAGTTTCGAATTCCAGAGGGTGATAACCACCCAAACCGTCTGGAAATAAAGTAGGAAAGCAACATTGCATTAGTTGTTTCGTTTTGTACTCATCAATAGTATGAGTTCTACGGTGCATATTTCCAATCGGGATTTTAGTTTCTAAAGAATCGGCTCCTATCGAATTAAGAATATGATCCATTTCAGTTTGATCGTCTTGGTTCACTTCTAATTCAAATGACTCAGTCACATTTTCAAGAATATCCGTTTCATTTTCACTGCCATTCGAACTCGTAGTAGTAGTAGCTAAATGACTCTGTTTTCCCTCAGATTCACTCTCATTTCGGACACCGGAACAAGTTTGGCCAGTCATACAGTGAGTATCTGGATTAAGTTCTTGACAAACGTCGTCTTCACTCGGCCCCTCAACACCGTTGCTACTAGGCCCACAATTTTGCTTTTCCCTGTTTAGTTGACTTACCGATCCTCGTAATTCGCTGACATCATCATCCGTGATGGGTATACTTGGTATTTCCTGGTTGATGTTTTGATCGAGTTCCCTAAGATTATCTTCTGAAATTTGAATGTGCTCATAAAGCGGGTTATTCGCTATCAGCCAGCACAAGGCGCGCCTCACCAAATCTGGCCGCACACGAAAATAGTTCGTTGTATTATCCGATTGTGATTTAAGTAACACAACTCCACATTCTTTCAGTGGTCGAGGAAGTCCTTTTACCATTTTAGCCGGCTCGTTCTAGTAGTTGACTGCATTTCCGCGAGTAAATTCTTGGCCATCTCTGTATTGATTTACGCACGTAGTGAAGGAAATACCTAGTCCAACCAGCCTTGACTCTATTCGATTCAATTCAGCCAGTTCAGTCGGAACTGTTCCGATCCTAAAGCCACTACTCCGGCAAAATTTTGGTGTTTTTCGTGTCGTCAGCGATCTATTACATCTATCACACAGCCATATCATTGTTTTATTGTTGCTACAGCCACCAGCTAGTAACCTGTCACGAACGCATTCATTAATAGCATCGCCTACAAGCCCTTCGGGAACTATTTCACATTCTCCTTCAGCGTTGCACAGAGGTGAAAAGAATATTGATTTGGGGTCGAATAGTTTTAACTTTGAATTATACGCATTCGCAACCTCTCCGCAACTTCCGCACACTCGAGTCAAGGGTGCGTCAATGGCGTCGAAGAAATCTGCAATAGTGAAATGACAAGAGTTAGTCACTGTCCGTAACAGTTTATACCAGTCTTGTTGCATACCTTTGTTGTCGTTCACATGATTGGCAGCCTCATTAGCATCAAGGAGACGGTCTTTACGCTTCCGACGCTTGCTCTGGGGGAGACTTTGAGAGTCTAAATTCCTCCGCTTTGTTTCTTCGTGCCGTGTTAATCGAGCATTCATTTGCTCAGCTTCTACCTCGTTGAGTCTTTCGGCGTGTTGATTAGGTGTGTGTTGTTGGGTGGTCCCTATACGAGTCGCTATTCGACGTAAAACGCGTAGTGCTGCTTTGGCTTGCTTGGCCGCTTTCATAGCTCGCGTCTTCTTGGTAGCACGAACCATTGCGACTCAAATCGTTTAATGACTTGGAGTCAAATCTTTCGACTCGAAATTAGGACAGGCTACTTCGCCTGTGTTCGTTGAAGTAAATGTACGTTGATGCTCCAGATCGAAAAGTGCGTAGGGTACCACGGTACGCCCATGGTTCCATATTGATCTTGTAGTCGTAAAAGATTTCATTTTTCAAGGGCGCATCTTCTTCCTTGTTTTCTTCCTTATTGTACATATTTAAACTACTCTACAGCAACAATAACATAAAATATCAGCAATGAAAAAAACTACATTTACTCCCAACCTCCAACTGCCCTTCAAAGTGCTCGTAAGCCGTAGTAACATACACGTTATATTATATTATAAGCCCGTGTAAATTTGATCTACAATTAAATTTACCTCAGCAAATACGTCGATATGTAGCAGCTACGTCGGAAGTTAAAAATCAAATGCAAAAGCAGCAGTTGTACATTAACTAAAACAATACTAACGTTATTTCCTGAACTGGGTCAACTCACATGAATCCTGTGCAATTTGTAGATCCGCAAAAGCATTGCTTTTGATTCTAGAAAAAAAACAGTTAGAGTTTCGAGTAGGGACCATTAAAAGCAGGCACTTAGCTTACCTGATCTCGTACAAACGCCCTTCCGTACTTGATGGTAATTTCTTCTCCCTTGTTAATAGCGGTGACGGAAAATATTCCACAACAGGTCTCACCACCGACCTCCCAGCGCTCCATAACACAATTTGGCGAGCAACTATGGTTCGCAAATCGGGCGATTCCTCCAATGAAGCGTGCATCAATCACCTCATTTGTATTCACAGCTAAACCATACGTATGGGGGGAGCGCCGACTTTCCTACAAAGTATAGTACCAGATTCAGTAAAATCACAAACTACAACCACCTAAACGGTATCTTACCTTTTCTTCACGTTCCCGATACATCGCTCGACTTATCACCTCGCCTACGTACTGAGCTATCAACGTATCACGCTCGATTGGCATGTCCGCCATCAAAGAGATGCCTTTGCCAGGTAGGGACGCCAGCGATAGTTCTGCATGTCTGCCACGTTGCATTCGTTGGTTCCCACATTTGTAGTTTGATGCGCAGTGGCCTTCCACACACTCTGTTTGTGTCTATAAAATTCATTAGTCGCGTACTTGTCCAGGCAAACAAGTCAGAAATTGCCAATTTCACGCACAGCTTGATTTTCACAACCTGAAACACATGTCAAAGTCCAGTCAGCACGAGGCTGACACTTACAGTATGATATGTCCAGCTAGGCAAATATCAAAACGTATAGGAATTAGTACTCTAAGTTAAATGTAAAGTGTCATCTTTCACATTACCGTGGGTCTGTTACGAGGTCTACACACGTATACATTTTGCGCCACGTCTTCATACTCCGCAAATGCTTGCAACACGGAACGTTCTCGGTACACCTAGTATTTATTGTCAGAAATTCTGGTCAATTGGGCTACAAACATTCACCACCTACTTGATTTGGACCTTGCCTCACGCGCGTATGTTGGTTTTCACCCCCGCCTCGAAGAAAGAACTCGTCCAGCTTGAGCTGTTTCATTGCAGGACCCGTGGATCTGCCCTGACGTAATCCAAATCCTATATGACGGCTCTCATTCCAGTATAACTGCTCTTTTGATCCCTCACATTCTAGATCTGGTGCCACCCCTTTGGAGCTGCTACCAGGATCTTTGTGAGCAAATTTTAAATCTATTGGCGCTTTATCACACCTAAAACTACTACTTCAATTTCAATTCGAACATCGCATATCATCACAGCGAATACCAAAGTAAACTTTTTTTTTGTATTCATTACACTCGTTTTGTGGTTAAAAGTTGCCTTCTATTTGGTGGTTATTGTGCTATTATTCATTACACTACGAACCTATGAAGGCAAATTAGTTTGTAAATGCTAACCGCAGCTCTCAATACAACAACTTTGCTAATTTTCACGAAATATAAAATTGGGCAGTTGCTACTGCACGTTTCGCACCTGGCTGTTGTTCAGGTGTGGCGCTTGCTGCGCTTCGCCACTGTTGGATGATTTTCCTCGCTCTTGCTCTCCGATGCCATCACCACATCATTGTCAGTCGGGATGGCACTCATCGCACTCGTGTTGTCTTCCGCTTCGTAAGCCTTGGTTTTTAAGTGTTGTGGTGAGATCTCACAGGCCACCTTGCGTTTTTTCAGTGGTGGTTCGACCTCGAAAATCTTGTACTTGTTACCGAGCTCGTACTGAACGCTCCCCTTTGCAATATCAGCATAGAAACCAACGCCATCGGCATGGGAAAATTTGTACACGGCACCAGGTTCAAACTTAATATTGCGCTTGCCATTGACACACTTCGTCGGTTTGGCATCCCACACCGTCACTTGAACCAGATACGGTTTGCGCTTCAGAGGTGTCAAGTCGGCTAGGGCATTTGCTGTCGGCTCGAACACTTCCCGTTGCGCGGCGTCGACCAGCGTAACACGAGTTCCATGGTCACCGCGAAGTCGTTCCGATTGAAGGCAGCACATGCTGAGCGTAACGCTTACATCAGCAGTTGGGTGCGACGCCAAAATGAATTCTCTAAACTCCGCCACAGTTGAGAATTGGTTCAACGTTTCTTCTTCCTTCTGCTTTAGGACGTCGTTCTTGATAGCTTCTAGCAGATTCATAGTTGTATGTGGTGAAATTGTGCGATGGCGTTGCTTCGTCGCTAGCAAAACTAAAAGTGAGCACTGCCGGCACGAATCATCCGTCCCATTCAAGATACCCACGTCCTACTGCCATTGTACGCGGCGGATAAGGTAAAATAATGCTATATTCGAACAAACCAAAAGGGTGACTATAATTAATTTGCAAACAAACTCTTTCATTGTGATATTACACACATTTCCTCCTCGCCAATTCCTTTAGTTCTGTAAACCACTCTGGCTTGAAGTCTACGAGCAACTTCACAAATTCTGACAAATTCTCGTAATTTTTAAAGCATTCCCGCACCAAATATTACTGGAATTTTGGCTCGATCGTTCGAAGCGAAACGTCAACGTATCCAAGAGATGTGATACAACTTCGTTTAGCCATTGCATCTTCAACAAATCTATTAGCTGATTCATTAGCGAACGTATCCGAAGAAATGCTATTCAAAACGCCATCACTATCACAACCGCTTCTTCCATTATTTTAGACTTTATTTGTGTAGCCCACTTGCATGACACTGCCCAGTACTCGATGTCCATCGTCATTGCCTAGCACAGATACCATACATACGAGATCACTGCATTATTAATGAATTTGAAGTTGGGGCATTAATTATGAGTCCATATTACATTTTGCGACTCCTTCTAGATCTACCAGCCAAACTTCAACCGACAGCACCGTCGTGCCACACCGCACGCATCCTCACCAACGTTTCTAGATATACAGTCACCTTCACTTGATCCACGTAATGGTTTCCAGCTCCAAACCTGGTACATTGTGTCTATTTGCCAATTTTACACCGTTTACATTTATTTTGACGCCCCTAATCTATCTAGTTTGTTAGTACGATGCCTTCCTACATTTTTATAGTAAAATTGAGTTTAATTCCTACTCATTAGCCTTCAAACCCTGCGCGCATTCTAGTTATTGAACCATCAACGTATCCAAGAGATGCGATACGACTTCATTTAGCCATTGATTCCGCTACTGCAGCTTCAACATATCCATTAGCTGATTTACCAACGAACGTATCCGAAGAAGTCATTAGCCTCCAAATCCTGCACGATTATATAGTTATATATATTTTTTAATTTTGATCTACTTCATAAATTCCATATCTACAATTTCATGCTACAACTGTGCTTACTTCCTCCCACACTCATGTCTACAGTAGCTCCAATTAGTATTAATTAAATTCATAGTATTTCGTTGCAACAACTCTGTTATATTATCCTTTAACTGAAAAGAAGAATACCATATAGTAATTGCTGATGCACCAGCAACATGGTCTGATCGTTTCCCCGAGTCTTCATCATTAACGCCATCACGCTGTTGCTGTCGGTCAAGTTGATTCTTGTAGCTGCTGTATGACCCTCACCAAGACGTGCGCTTTTTGAGGGGAGGCGCAATCTCTCTGATCTTATCCAAGTTGCCATACTCGTACTGAATACTGCCCTTCGCGATGCCATCGTACAATCCGACATACTCGACTTGATTAAGAACGTACATAGCTCCAACGTGAAACACAATCTTTGAATCGCCAGCGAAAGCGTTCGACATCTTTGAATCCCAAACAGTCACCTGCACCACATCGCGTTTGTCTTGATAGCCTATACAATCATCAACTGCCTTCAAGGCTGTGTTGACTTCCACACATCTCCTTCCGTCGACCAAGACTACACGAGTAGCGTTAGTACCTTCAAGACGCTCCACGTGAAGGCAACTCATTCTCAGTGTCACGCAGATATCAACTGCAGGGTGTGTCATTGTGATGAATTCACGAAAGTCTCTTACGCTTGAAAACATGTTGACAGCTTCCTCTTCCATTTGTTTCAAAACGGCCCCGCGAATGGAATCCAAGAAATCCATTGTGACTTGATACAGCAAAATCAAAAGTGACAGACGCAAATCCGAAAGTTAAATAAGCCAACTTCAACCCCAGTAAGGAAACTGTTCACAGCAGTATTACTTTTGCATGTCATATTTTATTCATATCGACTAGAGAGCCCAGCAAACGGTGGGTAATTGAGGGAGTACTCTTAAATAGTTGGTAAGTTGTTCCAGGCTCTGCTCGAAGCCCAGAGAGATATTAAAGTGGTGCACCATACTGCGTGAAAAGGCGTAGCGCTTGGCCAGATCCACTTTGTGTAGCGATAGGAGAATAGGCACCAGCAACTTCCCACGGTCCTCTGCGAAAGCCAATTGATCAGCAAGAAGGTCGCAATTTGCAGACAGCGGAGACAACACCACTAAGACGACAGAGCAGACGAGAATGGCATCTTTTGCAGCCAATTGCCGCGTTTGAACAGGTAAAGGAGCCACTGGGTGCTCAATGCAGCTCAAATCTGCGCCGAAGCCGCCGCTTTGAACATCGCTGTTCACAGTATCTTGCGGCCAATGCGCATATTGTACCGCAGGAACTGTTTGATCCACAACACAGCGTATTCCCTGCTTGAGCAACGATTTCTGGAGGCGTAGACACAATGAGCGGTGGATATCACCATGCGCAATAAAGACGAAAGAGTCTGTACCGGATGTGAACGCGAGAGACGAAGCCAATGAGTCAATCCGTCGTAATGGCCGAATAAGTGGCACGTTCAGTGGCCCTCTGGGAAGCTGATCGCTGCATTCGACGTGTCGATTTCTTCACACTCGCTTTGCTTATCATGATCCGTAGACATTCCACACAATGCTCTGTCTTCTTCCTCCGGATAACACTCACTCTCGTTGCGACGGCTTCCATGGCGTGACGCGTCTCCGCTAACAGTAGCATCAGTCTCATGACCAGGAAGTTGTGCTTGTTGCTGCTGCTGCAACTGGCGCCGAGCTAGTCGTGCACGATGCTCCTCGATTTGATCTTGAATACCGTCCAGTAGCATCCTTAAGCAGTGGCAAAAGGCCTCGTCATTGTAGTTCGGAACTAACTCGAGGTTGCTTAAGACGCGCTTGCCCACCATATTGACCACCACGTTCGTAGTATCATCTTCACTGTACACTCCCCCCTCATGTGAGTCAGTGTCAACTGTATATGAGCTATTCCTCGCCATCCGCTGCAGATCAGCATCATCTCCTGTAGAACTTACACCGTTATTGTGCTTAACTGCCGATCGAAAGTCAATCACTTGGCGGGTCCACAGGTAAACTTGTAGCTCTTCAGATATCTCCATATCCTCGCATTGTATAGCCACGACAGAAATGTCTGCATTTTGGCAAAAGCGAGTTCTTTCATGCACCATTGTGACTGTGGGTAGTCTTTCGTGAGTACAGCTAATACAAGAGCACTGCTATGGATCCCGCGAGCAATCTCTTGACGCCAGACGGAGCCATCAGTGATCCCAGTAGGTCCCATAGTGTCGATCCAAGTTGTCACTCGGTGGCGCTCTAACGAGTCTCGAATCTTCCGTGCTAACGGTGCGTGAGCATGACTGTAGCTGATCATAAAGTCGCGCTGACCTGCCTCCTTCTTCGCAGCGAAGCGTAGTGCTGGCGAACGTGCGCAGTCGATCGCACGTTGACCGAGCAGATTGACTGCTGTTAAACTTAGGCCAGCACGAACGAAAAGAACCGCTGCAGTTTGATTGCGTCGCCGAAGCGCAACATGGAGAGCAGAATCGCCATTGCTTGTACGTGTAGCGTGCAGATCGACTTCATCTTCCAACAGCAGCTGGAAAATACGGGCGTCAAGTCCACGCGCTAACGATCTCTGGGCGCTCAGCACCGCCTCCATTCCCCCATCCTCGCTTCTCGACCCATGTCCGTGCGAAGGCGATCGTTTTGAGACTCGCGGGCGACCTCCAGAGCAACCTTAGCGGCTTCGATAGCGCAGAGCGAACACGAATCGCTGCTTAGAACCACGCTCCCACGCCTCTATCCTATTTCAGTACAGAAAAACAGTGCATTCTGAACGTGTAGCCATGACTTTTTACAGAGTTCTTACGGCTCTGTATCCCTTCCAATATATCAGTTTTGATGCCCTTTATGACTAAATAGGACTGTCCCTCGACGTTAATCGTTACCAGCGTAACGGTTCGCATGGGTACGCGCCGTAAGGCCGTGAGCGTAAAACGTTCCTAAAACTTCCTTGAACAGCGCAATCCTTTGGCGCCTGATACAAAGCGACTCTTCATACAGAGCATAAAAATGACTCCTCTTTTTAGTGACTGTTAATACTACAAAAGAGGTCACTACCGCGCTTTTCTATTTTTCTTCCCCGTCACTCCCTTTCAAGGGTTCTTATACACAAGTATTTTTCGCCAAAAATGGTCCCTAGGCGGTTTGATTATAAATGTCTACCCTAACCCTTTTCTAATACTTCGTAAATACTCCTGTAAAAAGAGTAGTTGTCTTACTAATTCGTTTCATTATAGGGGGGCTTTGCCCCAATTATTCTACACGACTCTTATTAATAATCTGGAAGGGTCAATTGCAAAATATTTATGATTAGTTTTTTTCTCTCTCCCATTCGATTCAAGTACACGTAAATTTTGTGATTTCAGGAACACCAGTATTATAAAAAATGCAAGAATGTGAATATAATACTGTACATGTAATACATGTACTGTACTGTAGTATTACTGTAGCAATTGCTCTAAGCAAACAAGACTACGACACACTTCCCGTCCGGAGCTGTTGCCTCCCCACCTGCACCTCTTTGCCGTACCCTCTCTCGTGGTAGTGGCGTCTCACAATCGGCTCGAGACGAGTCGCTACCCCCTGTTGATTGTCTGCACCGCCTGATCCGCGAAGATCACGATCCAATAACCCACCGAAATGCTCCCGCAGCGACAGAACTCGGGCAAGCGCGCGAATTCCAGCCATCGCAAAGCCAAGTTTAATGTTCGCAACGCTGTATTCGTGGTGCTAGGCCTGATCTTCGCGCTATGCATGTACTTCAACCTTCGCTTCTTCGCCACGTCCACGATCTCTACCAATTCCATCACTGCGACCGGCAAGGGCTGGCGTTCCTTTGACGGCGCACCCAACAAGCCAAACGAGGCGAACGGAGACTTACTAGTGGACGCATCTGCTACGCGCCAGGTCAAGCACTTGGTGTTCACCTCCACGTGTCGCGACCTCGACTTTATACACGCAGAAGTACTCGCCTTCACGCTGCGACGCACAGGATACACCGGTAACGTCACCCATTTACTGTACGGCTGCACATCTGAGGCGGTCTCAGAGATCATGCGGAAGAAAGACCCGCGTCACAACGTACAAACCAGACATTACCCCGACGTCTCGGCAGTGAACACGACGTTCGGCGAGAAGATTCTCACAACGACTTTGAACCCCGTGGTGCTGTCCGAGTGGCTGCTGGGATCTGATACTGGAGAGCTCAGCGACAAGCGCGCAATGTCATTTGAACAGCGCTATGCATTGGCATCTGATGACTTTGTCATGGCTGTCGACAGCGACGCGATCTTCACCAAGAAGTTGGACATGTGGAACCTCATGGCCGAAGCGAATGATGTCATTGATCCTCGCATTTTTGGACAGGACGCATCCTGGTACTGGCCGAAGCGATTCCCATTGACAGGTGAACAGCTTCGAAGTATCCTACCGACAAACTCTCGCGCGCTGCTATTGGATGACTGGCGCGAATATGCTGCAATTGCTCCGTTTGTGGCAGAAGCGAGTGCGTGGCAAGAGATTCTGCCTACTGCTGTGGACTTGTGGGACAAACTGGCTCATGAAGAGCGCTACCTCGCTGTTCCTATCGCTGCTGCCCACGAGAAGATGCTAATCGGAGTCTCGGGAGTTCTCAGTGTGCACCACTACCCTTCTCGCTATCAGAACTGGGACTTTGTGGACGATATCAAGCACGACCCGTGCGAGACACTGGCAGAAGGGAAGGACCTGGCACTGTCGTCCTATCCGATCTCCATCCGTGCGCTGAATTTCACGCTTCCTCAATGGATCGACGGTCGTGACTGGAGTTTCTTCGCTGACCAAGTCCCTTCCGATTTCTTTTCGTGTGACGCCTGGATGATGCACCAACCAACTGGTAATCTGTGGCATCTCGCTACTCACACTAGCGGATACGAACGTGTGCCCAACATTCTTCGTCGTCGTCACGCTATGAGTGTTTGTCTCGCTGTGGAGGCCTACAACAGCGCGTCTGAGAACTACCGCTCGCGTATTTGCCCCACCGCATTTAACCACAATCGTCGTATCCCCATGGAGTTCAAAAAGGCGAAGGCGTGGAAGACCGCAGTGGCACTCGCAGAAGGCACACAACTGGGAGAAGAACCGCCCGTTTACTTTGGCGACTACAGAGGAAAAAATCTCCCGGTGCACCCACTCGAAAGCGATCTCAGGACGTGATCAAGAGGAAGCGAGCAGCTGCATTTTGTGATCACGACGTCATGTGAGCCGCACCAGG